TGTCTGTAATCCCAGCATTTGGGAGGCTGAAGCAGGAAGTCTGCCTCAAGTTCAAGGCCAGCGTAGACTGCATAGTGAGTGCTAGGCCAGCCTGAACTGAGAACCTGTCTCAAAACAAAACAAAACAAAACAAAACAAAACAAAACAAAACAAAACAAAAGTGACATCTTTATATGGTTCAAGCTAATAATTAACCATCTGACAGTAAACATGCTATAACCCTCCCTCCAGTAAACATGCTATAATCCTCCCTCCTGTCTCCACCTGTGTGATTTCAAACCAATCAATTTGGACCAGTGCACTTGTCTACTTACTCAGCATTTACTTGGCACTGCTGTGTTCAGGGCCTGGGTGGACAGTACTGAGCAAAAACCAGCAGAGCACCTGCCCTCACACAGCTTGCAGTCTGAGAGGAGTGCTCCTACTAGCTAGCTAGGTAACATACTGCCCCAAATTTAGTGCCCTAAAGTGACAATCTGCTATTATTTTCCTCAGTCAACTGTGAGTTGATGGGTTGGGTTGAGGGTCAATTGATATCTCTTGTACTTGTGTAGTCATAGAGCAGGTGTCATCTGAATGCCCATCTGAGCTGGGTTTCCAAGATGGTGCACTCCCACGGCTGCCAGTTGGTGCTGGAGTCCTGTTAGGGCTGTTGGATGAAGGGCCCGTATGCGCTGTCTCCATATGGCTTGGGCTTCACATAGCCTGGTACCTGGGTTCCCAGGGAGAGTGTCCCGAAAGACCAGGAGGTCCAGGGCGACCTAGACTCAGAAGCCTCGAGCATCACTTCTGTTGTCTTCTCTCCATCAAGGACTCACTAAGCCTAGCCAGCTGAGAAGGAAGGTATGGAGGGGAATTATATCCCTCTTCTTGATGGAGGCATCAAAGACTCACTGCGGGAGACCAGGTAGGGTAGGAAGTATTGATGCTGTCCCTGGAAACCACAGTCTGCCCCAATGGGACAGAGTTGGTATGAGTACATGGTGTGCCAGGTGCCCTAATAACAAAGGGAAAGAAAATCTACCCGACATTGCAGTAGGCCTGTGGCTGATCCGTGAGACAGGGTGAAGGGTTAGGGCGATCTTCTTGGTGGGGAACAGGAGCGTGAAGCTCTTGCAGAAGCCACTTGGCAATTCAGGCATTGGAAGGTCTGTGAGGCTGTGCAGACCAGGGATAGGACAGAGGGGCCATATCCCTTGTGGAACCTTAGCAGCCATGCCAAGGGCCCCACGTTTGACTTTGGCAGTATATACAGATTCTCCAACGCTGCTGCTTTTCTCATCGAGTCTGTTGTGGGAGACTATGGCAGCACAGTTATGATTAACAGTCAGATGTCCTGGGCTTGAAACCTGACCCTGCCACCACTTGTAAAATAGGGACCTGATGGTGACAGCTCATAGGACTGCCTGACTGCTTTCCTTGGGCAGGTGCCCAAAAGCTGCCACGTAGCAAGTGCTTAGTCCACACTGGCTGTTCTTGGTAGAGGCTGGACAGAAGCTGAAAGTGTGCAAACTGGAAAGTAACCACACTGTAGGTTGGCCGGGGTGGCGGGGGAGCAGGAGGTGACAGCGGGAGGTGTCAGCCTGTTCTGGGCGTTTCATCTCCCATCCTGTGCATGTAGCCGTGAGGGAGAGGGCCCTGGCTTTGGGCCTTTTCTGGACGAGTCTTCAAGCTGTTGCTGACAGCCTCTAGAAGTGGTAGTGGGGTGGGGTGGGGTGGGGTGGAGGGAAGGGAGCCGTGAGTCTGTTTTCAGGAAGTTCTTCGTAGCTTCCGAGGCCTATGCAGAGCAGAAGCATGTTGAAGGCTTTTCCCAGCGTGCTGACTGCTCTGTTGGGCCTGGACGGCTGCAGGGGTCATGGGTCAACTGTAGTTTAAGTCCAGGAGGTCACTGTGTTTGTTGGAAACATGGGGCAGCGCTTGCTTGGGGACTGAGAAAGGGTCAGATGCTCTGCTTCTGGCCTCTGCTTGCTCTGTACTTGCTCAGGCCAGCCACCGGTGTCTGGACTTCTGTGGCTAGAGAGGGCAACCCTCACCAGAGAGGGCTGGATCAAAGGAGCAGGGAAGTCCAATCCTTCAGCCTTCAGGGTCTTACTGAACAATAGCTCAGGGTGGGCTGGGGAAGGAGGAGACCCCAGAGAGTGATCCAGGGAGGACTGGTACCTCCAGGAAGTGAAAGGTGTGCTGCACAATTAACACCAGAATGTGTAGGCTCCGTTCCTTGCATGACTTTGAGGTGGCCCTGAGGGTCCTCAGTTTCATCTTATGCAAGTGAAAAGTAACATGATGTATAATTTTTCTTTATACTGCTGAGCGTGACCAAGCTTTGCAAGTAGTCCAGCTTGCCCAGGGCATTCCTGATCTCTAGGTCCTGATTCTTCGGAGTCCATAGAGGGGCCCTGGGGACTGGGTTTTTAGGGAAGGCCCATGCCCTAAAACTTTCGCAGGCCACTGCATCTGCTTCTCTGGCTGCACCTTCCTGAGGGTCAAGCTGGCTGAGCTTGGGACCCCCTGGGGCCGGGATGATGAGGCCCAGGTCTTTGTCTCCCCAGCTGCCTCCCACCTCTCCCCTCCGCCCTCCTCTCTTCCTGCCCCTTTCTGCACATCCACCCTGCCTTCCCATTAGTAGCCAGCCGTAGGGGAGGTGACAGTTCCTTAAAACAGATTTATACTCTTGGACGACTTTATGGGTTTTTGCCTTATAAAAACCGGAGAGTTGACATTCTGATTTATCTACTCCCAAGTCAACAGGATGTACCAGATTTAAAGAGATCAAATGCATTGTAATGTTTGTGGTTCCAGTTGTGGATTAGATGAGCTATTATAGAAAGTGCTGCCAAGTAAATATGGCAAAAAAATAATAACAAGGGGATAATTTAAATATATCCATTAAATTGTGTGTTAAGTAAAGTAGCACAAGCATGGTGCAGAATATAACTTATTATCTGGAGAATCAGTGTAGTAGATAAAGCTGGAATTATGATTCTTTTTTATCCTCTACAGAACATTTTTTTATTAAGGGAAAAGACAGTAAACTAGGAATTTCAGAGACGGGCGCTTGACTGTAACCATGGTTGTGTGATGACTTATAATACTGAAGGCTCCAAATGATATTTCTCATTTCTCTGCCTTCTATTTCTTGCTGTTGCTGCCACTGCAGCAGATCAGATTCCCTGAGATAAATACGCTGCCTGGCTTTTAATGGGATTTTTGTATTGTCGGGAGTTGGCTTGTTCCGATAATAAAAGAACCTAAAAATTGTACATCCCTTAATTGGTAAGAAGAGAGATGTTTTGATGGGCCACAAATGGAAACATTGATTTTTACTGCCTCGTCGGCGTGTCACGCACTGTTCCCCGCCACGGAAGGCAGCAGCTGGCTCTCCGATGAGCTGATTTGTGTTCCTAGGTTCTTGATGTCGGGTGCTTGGAAGTGTGTGTTCTGTGCGGACGAGAGAAATAGAGCCCTTAATAATATTATGTGTTCCTAAATTGAAATATTTATAAGACTGTGGTTTCTACCTCAAATCGAATGCATTCTTAGCTTCATGTCTCTCTTTTTTGCTCCAGCAACAGGCCCTTGGGGGTTTAAAGGTTGTGAGTTAAGCCTTATTTTGTAACTGTGATGTTATGTGTGCACTGACATACACATACAAACACACATACACACACACACATGCATGCACATCTGTGCATGAACTTTTGCATAGGCACATACATTTGCATAAATATATTTATGTATAATGGAGAAGTCTTTGTTTGATTTCTATCAGTGCTGCTAGTTTTTGGACTGGGAACTGGACAAGTGCATGCAGGACAAAAGCATGTGAGAAGAGACAACATGCTTTTTGATTTTCCAGTCCACGTGTCCTTGTATTTTAATGGGCAAGTTTAATCCTCTGACATTTATTAGGATTACTGATACATTCTATATATTAGATTTACCATGCGTTTTTTGCAGTTTGATTTACAAATTCTTGATGTGTCCTATTAATCTCTAGGATTGAGGCTGTGCTCATTTCCCACAGATGTGTGGGGGAAGTGAATTAGACGAGAAGTCAGGATGTTGAGTTGAGCATCTGGAGGGTGCTGGGATGTTGCTCCTGCTGGCTGCTCATTGGGTGCCTCCCTTGTGAATGAGGAACCTTAAAGCTGTCCCTCTCTGTGGGGCCTGGACCACATGATCTCTTGAGGTCCCTTTTACTCTATGATGTATGAAACTGTGCAATGGGGCTATGCATATATATATCATTGTGACTCTGAAAAAGCACAGTACTACACAAATGCGAGGCATCATTGTGATCATCAAATCACTTTTATCTATGGTTAACCACTCATCTGCGCAGTGCCAAGCACAGAGTAGGCATTTTATTTTTTAAAAAAATTGGCTCAATGATTCCAAGGACGCTTCTCACTCTAAGCAGCTCCCAGATCATAGGTGAGGGATTGGACATATTTAAACTTGTGATTTGACTACATTCCAAACACATGCACTTACTTTAGTCCAGAATCAAGACATCTCTGCAAGGAATTGAGCCAACATCATCACACTGGGAGGCTTGTCGTGTGGAAGGTGAAAGAGGCTCAGAGGTCTCCCAGTTCTAAACTGCAAAGCTTTGGGGAAAGCTACAAGCTTTGAGGTGTGTTAGATGCAGCTGATGGGGGCCTTAGAGGGATGTGTCACAAAATTGGGTTTTTAGGAGACAAATGCTAAGGTGTTTTCACCTCCCTAGGGGTCATGACCCCCAGCAGCCATGCACAGAGTAGAGATGACAGGAAACCCCCGTAGAAGATTTGTGCCACAAATTAAAAAAGTCTAGTTGAGAATTATGGCACCACATGCTACAAAAAACCCCCATATATTAATATATTGAGAGGTGTCAAGAATAATGGACCCCGGGAGGTAGAGTAATTAAATGTATCTTAATAAATGCCGGGCGATTCTTTAAAACCCTTTCCCAAGACCCCCTCAGCTGACACGGACTCTATTCTTCCTGTTGGCAGGAGGCCTAGAAGGAGAGCCGGAGTGCGATCGGAAAACCAGCCGTGCACTGGAAGACAGGAACAGCGTGACAAGTCAAGAGGAGAGAAATGAGGACGATGAAGACGTGGAGGATGAGTCAATTTACACCTGCGATCACTGTCAGCAGGACTTCGAGTCTCTGGCAGACCTGACGGACCACCGGGCCCACCGCTGTCCTGGAGGTAATGCTAAATAGCACCGGGATTCTGACAGGTGGTTACACGGATAATTGGACATAGCAACAGCTTGAAGCCTCAAGTGAGATTAAAGAATTAATAATGTAATTTTACAGTTAATGTCATTTTATTGTGGTGTCTTGGGTACCCTGTATCCGCCTTTAAATAAAATTAAAAATAAAAGCAACAGCTTTCTGGCAGGCAGGAATTAGGTGGAGGCGCCCTGTCCCTGCCTGACTGTGCTCTGTAGTACATGGGCCATAAGTGGTTAGGTCTGCATCCCAGATTTTGGGATTTCCTTGCAATTAAGGGGTTGTTAGTGCAAAGTTAAGCAGCTTAAGTGTGGAAAGCTGCGTGAAGGAGTGAGCTCTGTCGCAGGGCTTGTGATGGGACAGGGAGGCTTTCAAAGGCCAAGGACAGCATGTGTGGAAGGGGACTGCTCTGCACTTGACCTCCTGCTTCTCTGAGTAGGAAAAGAAGGGCTGGGCCTATTCTTGCCCTGTTCTCCATGTACACTGCACCTGTACCTAGGAGAAGGTCTACACAACCATGGTGTTATGGAGCCACTTAAGATTTCATGGTGTGTGTGTGTGTGTGTGTGTGTGTGTGTGTGTGTGTTAGGGGTTGGTGGGGAACTGAAGGCCATGGTGTGGCAATCATGTTGTAGGGACCCACACATGTGTGGGCTCTGAGATTTGCAGAGAGACAATCCATAGCCTCTGTTCCTTACACAACCATCCTGAGATATCTTCTTCCATTGTGGTTGTTGGTGAAACCCTTTGAATGCTGGTTTTGTGGGAGAGGACCTAAAACCTCTGGCCAGTATTCTAAAGGGGACTGGTCACCTGACTGCGGGGGAACTTGCTGGTGGGGAGTAAATTAAAACGCAGAGCTCTTGCTTCCCTCATTTCTGTTACCATCTTGAAAATTTGAAGCCAAATGTTTATGGAACTGCTATGACTTGCCCTCTAGTGACACCAGCGCCTGCACAACCCTGACTGGACCAAATCCCTGCTCTCAACAGACCTGAGAGGGCTGTTTCTTAATAGTTTTGAGCCCTTTGGTTCTCAGTCATCCAAATCCCACTCACATGGAACTTGTGATACTTCAGTGTGAGGTGAAGGCAATGGTTAGTTTAGAATCCTAAAATTTAATATGGAAAGAACCTATAGGTTTGCTTTACCAGTCCCATCATTTCCTCCAAGGTACATACTGAGGCATTAAGAGAGAACAGTGACTCCTCCACCAAGGTCACATAGCTCTTTGGTGGCAGAGGTAAGACTTTTCAGGATCCTTGGCTGCTGACCCTCATCCTACGTGAGAAAATAATAGCCACAGAATATTTCTTGATTTTGCCAAAAATTGAGGTGGAATCTTGGCCATAAGCAAATGAAATATTGCCACTGACTCTAGAAACAATCAACAAGCGGGATGTGGTGGCACATGCCTATAATCCCAGCCATGGGGCAGTGAAGGCAAAAGAATCACAAGTTCGAGGCCAGCCCGGGCAATTTAGCAAGACTTTGCCTCCAGATTAAAAAAAAAAAAAAAAAAAAAAAAAAAAAAAAAAAGGAGCTGGGAATATAGTTCAGTGGTTGGGGTTCAATCCATGTGACCAGAAACAACTACTTGACTTTCTAATTAAAAATGATTCTCTTGGGCTGGGGATATAGCTCAGTGGCACAGCGCCTGCCTGGCAAGTGCAAGGTCCTGAGTTTGATTGTTGGTACCAGCTGAAAAAAAAGATTCTCTTTATTTTCTAGATGTAAGAGCAACGAGGCCGTTCTGTGTGGTTGGTGAAGCAGGGCCCGGCCTTCACTAAGGGGTGCTGTCTTAAGTCTCAGTCCCCATCTCTGTTGAGGTGCCTCACAGTCAGGTTGATTCTCAGGTCTCTGAGCCACACGTTTGACAGCAGTGGAGTTTCTAGGTGAGACTGTGGGGATGCATGCAGGGGTACGAGAAGTGGTAGCTAATTGTGCCTCGTCCTGGCTGGGCTTCATTTTCCAGTGGCAGACTCTTCTCCTGGCAGCTTCTGACTCTGGCTGGAATCTGTGGCAGCACTATTCTGAGGGTCCCCAGCCATCCTTATCTTATCTGTACCGGTGGTATCCACTGATACCCTATCCATTCCTAAGAGGACCCCACTAATGACCTCCATGGGGATGCAAGAGCCAAGAATATCCCCAAACCCTGGAGCATTGGAAGGGAGTTGGAAATTCCTTGAAAGAGTAAGAGACGCAACCTTGCCTAGTAGCATCCCTGAGAAATTCATTACCGCCCGGTAAAGGTGTGATCCACTCTGAGAGAGTTTCCCCAACATGAACAAGGCATGGGAGGAGCTATTTCCCCCCTGGACCTACGTTCTCAGGATTAGCCAGTGACACTGGGAACTACGTGTGCTCTGCTCCGAATAACCCTCCATCTAGGATGCCTGCAGACCCGGTGCCCTGGTTTTCTAGCTGCCTTTTCAGCGGTGTCTTTGGGGCTGTTGTGGAGGAGGGAGGGCTGGTATCAGAGCAGAGCCTGTCAACCTGAGGTGCTCTGATGCCCCATCTGGTCTTGAACTACGCACGTTACAAATTCTGTTTTATACTATGAGCTCTAGTGTAAGATGCTGCTTGAAAATGGGCTTTTGCTTTTATACCAGAACAAATACAAAAAATGCAGTAGAGGTTGCTGGGGATGTAGCTCAGTGGTAGAGCACTTATTTCACAGGCACAGGGCCCTAGGTTTGAGTCTCCAGTATGAAAAGGAAAATTCCATAGTGCCTTCTTTAGGCCAGGCTCATGAGTCTACAGGACTTGCACTGTCTTAGTCACTTCCCTTGTTGCTGGGACAAAATATCTGACACTTTAAGGGAAGAGAGGTCTATTTTGGCTCCCAGGCTGCCTCCACAGGAGGCTCTCAGACCTGACAACATGCCAGAGGGGCGTGACAGAGGAGAGCTGCACACGGCATGGTGGCCCGCAAGCAGAGCTGAAAGGGAGATAAACTTTCCTGCCCACAGTAACCCGCCTCATAACAGGTCAGCCATGATGCCTCCCTAACCCAGACACCTTCCAAACACATGAGGCTTTGGGAGGCATCTTAATTAATTAATTTTGTAGTTAATTAAGTTTATTGGCACATTTTAAATCTACATAATGATCACATCCATCATAGAGAACTTACACCTGTATATGATATATCTTGAGTCCTTTTCCCCCATTCTTTGGGGCCATTTTAGAGCTAAAGCATAACACTCACCACTGGGCATTCAGAGTCACCAACCCTGCCACCTGCTGGATGATGTACAAGGGGCAAAGCACGCGGAAGTGCTGCTCTCGTGGAGGGCTCTCTTGGAGGAAAGGTGGATGCTCCATAGCTCAGCAAAGATATTCCAGGGAGGCTGGGCAGCCGTGGTACCCAGTAGGGGTCTCTGAACAAACAAGTCTTACATTGAGGGAGGGTCTGTCTGTAAATCAAAGTGCTTTTTCTATTTTCTCACACAACAATTGCCATAAAACACTTCTGTGAACGTGTGGGGATTTCTCCCCACTGGTGGCCAGTTAATTCTGCAGCTACCACTCGGTGCCCTTGAGTTCTCTTCAGTTCTGATACTGTCATCTGGAGGTCACCCTGGCCCCCACAGGCTGAGGGCTCAGTCCCCCAGACTCGGCCTCTTGCCCACTTCTGGTGTGGGTTGCAAGCTCCAGGTTGAGACCTGTGGACCTGAGGGTCAGGCTATCCACTGGGGTTCCCATGCTTCCTCCTTTGCTTATAACTAATTTGCCTTCGTGGCTCTCAGAATTCAGGGAGAGACTAAAGACTCAGGTGCAGAGAGGCACAGAGTGTGTCGTGAAGGAGGGCGGGCACTTCCAGGCCCTTTCCTGACCCTGCCTCTAGGACCTGCGGCTTGTTAAGCTCTCCAAAGCTCTCCCAACCCCGTCCTTTGGGCTTTTACGGAGGCTTCAGTGTGTAGGAATTCTTGGTTCGATTATCAACCATTGAGGATCAACGGGACCTGCAGCCCCTGGAGTCTGGGGACCAAATGTCTATTTTACCGTATCACAGCCACCAGCTGCGCGGGGCCTTCTCTGCTCTGGAGAATGTGGGGCCTGGGGGCAGGTTCACCTGTCCTTCCTGTTCCTGCCCTCTCAGAAGAGTGTTCTTGGGTGTGGATGACTCTTGTCTTGCACAGAGGCTGTCACTAGGGATGATAGGGGAGACTCCGCCCTGCCACACTGCTGGTGTGTTGGAAGGAGGGCTGTGCGGTGGCCTGTGTGTATGGGAGCTGGCCTTAGATGTACTTTATTTAAAACTGTGTTTGCAGAGTGACCTCTTGAGTCTTCGGCAGTTGGGGATGATGATGGTGAGGATGATGTTGGAATCTGGGGGAGGAGTTGCGAGATTTGGGGATTGTCCATGGAGGAGGAGGCTTACAGTGGAAGGGGGAGCCTCATGCTACAAAGGGGGTGATAGGATTCATAAGAAGCAGCCTGAGCTGAGGTGCAAGGAGCCCTTATTTCCAGTTGGAATGTGAGGCGGTGCCTTTTCTGCTGTTTCTGGGCAGGTGCAGCAGTGTGGCCCATTAGTTGCTGACTTCAAGAGCTCAGGCAACTCCATCAAGTCCCCCCCACCGCAAAGTGAGCTTACCTATAACACTCTACAGGCCTCTCTGTTCATTCCTATGTGCCCAGCAACAGTTTGATTTTTCATTTCTCTCCAGCCCTTGCCCACTGCAAAACAGATGTTTATGTGTTTGGCATGTTTTATGCTGTATTGGTCTCTGTACATTTTCTGAATGTGGTCGTCTGTGTCTTCCTGCTTTTGGAGAGGTCACATAGCAGTGCTCAAGGCAGGACAGCTGGGTGGTTGTGACTCTATGTCCTACAAACATGTTAAGTTTTGACTACAAGGCCAGCAAGTACAGATTTTGTACAGAGTAGAGAAGGTTGACTCGCCGAATATGCTGAGCTTCCTGTGTCTGATGGAGACATCGTTGGTGGGCAGCAAGGCAGGAAATG